TTTCTGTCGGCATGAGGAGTGGCATATTGCTGGTCCTACAATAGTGCAAGCTGATCAGTCTTATCCCTAGAGCAGACAAGATGGGTTCGTTTGATCACAGAAGCGATGACAGTTGACAGAGCTGCAACGACTGGCACGACTTCAGGCTTAATCCAAATGAAGACAACACAGATTAATCGCCATAGAATTTTTAGGAAAATTGCATTTTGACCTTGAGATTCGGGGTTTGTATAGTATTTCTTCCTTGAATCTTACCTTACAATTAGTCCTGCGTCCCATTCTTCGCTTCCCGATTGTTTTCTTCTTTGTCTCCAGGTGAAAACTGAAACCAGATCAGGTCACGAGAAAGGTTTGTTCCGAGGCATTTATTTGACACCTGTTCGTCGACTCTGATCAGATATTGTTGATAAACCTATAAGCCTTTTGCTCATAATTTAGCCTACTGTTTCTGCTATGTGTCATTTTAGAACTTTAACAATCATATGTGATGTTTTTATACCCGTCGAATCTTTTCCCTTTTCCAAAAATTTAACCTAGATCGACTGTTTATGAGCACATTTTCCTATATTTTCATTAAAGAAAACCCATTTTACAAATAAAATTTCAAAAATACTGATGGCTAGAATGGATTAATTGTATTTGCATTAATTTCTATGAGAAAAATTGCTTTGGTTAATGAACGGACTCGTGGAACGGATTACGTTCGTTAACCGAAGTTCCACTATAATGTATAGCATTGTGGTAAAGGTTAAATATTCTACATAGTTATTTTATTAAATTGCAATTGTTGCACATAATCATGAGAGTACAGTGCTCTCACACTGCGAGAGAATTTACTGCAGGTGGTGAAAAGGTATTGATTTTCATAAAATTTCTCTGAATAAAAGGGTCATAAACTTGAAAACTATTGTGGGAATTGCTTCAGAACATATCAGTTGAGAAATACTATAAAAAAAAAACTGCCATTTATCTGCTCGATACATACATGCCTTGATGCAATTAATAAATGAAAATTCTTTAATTTATACATTACAGTCACTTGAATTTTTATATTCATAAAATTAAAAAAATACAAAAATTATATAGAGTATGGCATCATAAAATTTTATAAAATGATTTAAAAATACCAATGGAAAAAATTAAATTATTTCTGGATCAAATTCGAGTTTTTTTTAGAAGTTATTCACTTTTAAATAATACTATTATAAGTGAAGGAGTGCACGTGCTGCTGCTGCAGCTATTTTAAATAATAGCAACTGGCAGGAAATTTGAAATCTGAGATCACGTGCACCATAGTGTTGATTTGACATCAATTATTAAATAAAAATAAGGAAAGGCTTTAAGCAAAAACTGAATAGTACATCGTAAAATTAAAGAAAAATTATTCGGGATTTATTTCATTTTAAAGAAAAATTTTTTCAGATTTTTCAAACAATTGGAATTTTTACACTAACTAATTAAAAATCGATTGGTGCCTAATCGGCACTGAGTTAAGCTTTGCTCTCACAAATGGTGTTGCTGTGTTTCACCATTCCATCTCTATCTAATCACTAAAGCAAGGCTGATACCTTTGCTTACTTGGACAATGTTACTATCTGTAGAAAAACTGTAGAAGAACATGATCATAATTTTGCTAGTTTTATTGACATGGTCCATAAGTATAACTTGACACTCAATAAGGCAAAATGCTCCTTTATAAAAGTGTGAAATGCAATAAGAATACACAAACACATGAATTTGATTAAAACAAATTTAATCTCACGATAAACAATTATATATAGAAAAGTTCTTTTGGATTTCCTCAGTCTCTCACAATACCAATTTCTATCACTGCCTAATGGCAACAACAAACCAAGTAGCTTGCTTCTGTGGTAACTACTTACCTGACAATAATAATCAAACACGTGTGATCCTTAACTAATTAATTCTAAAGATAGAAAATCTAGAGATATGGAAACGAGAAGAATGAATAGGATAGTGGGTACACAATACTTGATAAACTTTGATGTTGGCTTGTGCCCTTCTTCTGAGGAGCTCTGGGTTCTTATTTCATGTGTTGAATATTCTTTTCTTTAATAGCCTTGACGATCTCTCCTATTCCATCATCCAGATCTCCATTTCATGGCTCTCAGTTCTGCTCTCATCAAATTCCGTCTCATGAGCTTACTGATCAATGTCCATGCCTTTTTGAGTCCAGCGAAAGAGTGATGGTTAGAGACTTCAATTGCTACTTGCTATCTTCCCCAAAGTGCATTGTCCCACCTGATCCCCTAGTGGGTGGGATGGAAGAGAACCCCTGTTCCCAAAAGTCAGAACAATAAACAAAGGAAGTTAAAAAGAAGGATTAAGAAGAGGAGAGAGTTATTAAAACTATTTAATCTAGAATACATATATACAAAATAATATGGTGTATAGCCACACCTTCTCTTTTAAGTCTATTTGTATGCTTGGTTACTTAATTGAAGGTGGAACAATATGATCGGATCCAGAATGCCTAAATCCTCTACTAGAATTACCTCTCCTCAGTGGCATGTCATGACATTTGATGATAGGGAAGCTGTTTTGTAAGAAGCCAACTTCTAGGGGCAATCAGTTAATTGCGCATCAGTGATGGTCTAGGGCAGGAATGGCCAACAGTTTTTGCCCCCAGGCCGAATTGGAAAGAGAACTTTTTCCACAGGTCGAACCAGAGGCTGCCCTAGGAAGATTTTGAGGTGGTGCAAGATCTCATTGTGGTGTCACTCTGTAGAGACTAAATTGTAGATAGAGATTACAGATACATTTTTCACATCATCATGCTTTATCAACGTTCTATGCTGTACTTAAGAGATTTGTAATGGAGGGTTAATTCTAAACATACAGTGAATTGTTGACTTTTTTTTTAGGTGTCACAATTTTTTATTAAACTATTCGGACCTTAGTACCTAATATTGAAAAATTGATCGCAAGACACATAAATTCAGGCCGCCGTATATTGGCCATGCCTGGTTTAGGGTCCATTCTTATTCATTTGTTCAATAACCCAGTAAAAACTGTAGCCTTCTCTAAATGTATTTTTAATAGCTTATCTGATATATTTAGTAAATAAACAAGTTTAGTATAATTACCTTTGTTATTACCTGCTCGTCTTGGATTCTGTTTAATTTGTATTTCATGCATTCCATTTTAATGTTCTTTTTTAATATTGGTTCAACTGAAAATGGCTGTTAAAAACAGTTGAAAACATTTTTGTCATATTAAACATTTTTTATTGCTGGATGGTTAAAGGTGTTATTTATATTATTTGTTATTAGATTTAATAGATTCCTATGCCTTTTAAATTGCCAATTCTTGCTTTGATAAAAAACATATAATATATGATGCTGCCAAAGTTAATTTTTTAACATCATATAAGAATTGTACATGTTTTTTTCTGCATCCCCTTATAGTTGGAGGACATACTAAATCATAATATCATTAACGTTGAAGTCTGTAAGTAATACAAGGTGGGAGAACAGAATAAATGTATCAAATATATTAATGGATTTTTTTAAACTCCTGTCAACTATCATAAAAACATACCAGTAAATTTCTATTGGTTAGGTTAAGTTATAAATCTACTCGCGATTCATATAATGGGGCAAGGGCAGCCAAATATCTAGCAGGCAGGCAGCTAACAGCCCAGAATCGGTCCTGGATAGGAAGCTTTATACAGTCGACCCCCCCTATAACATGGTAGATATGTTCTGAGTTTTATGAATCCAGCTTCTAGGAGTCCATCCAATCACAGCCCAGCACGTATGCAGTTTACGGACTACAGCTGTTTGAAAGGTTTCTTCCATAAAATTAATCGATTCTAGACTAATTCAACTCAACATTTCCAAAATACGTATAATTTTTTGGGAATAATCCATATAAACTATGCTATAAACAAAAAATTGTAGAATTACTTACCGAGTGTGCACAGTTCGACTACGCCATTGCTTAAGCTTGTTTTCGTCGTGGAGATGGTCATCGAATGGCACTTGCGTGCTCCCTGATAAATTATTTTTTTGCGAAAAATTCACTGAACTTTAGAGACATCATTAATATAAATATAATTTTTATGGACATTAAATAATAAATGGTTTTTAGTAGGTCCGCTGCTTGTTTAAATTCAATGGTTTGTGCAATATCCGCTATTGGTCTAGGTTCAACCAATGCTGTCACAACACTAGTCGGCGATGACGTTTTACCGAATTATAGGAGTTTTTTTAGCATGTTTGTACGAATACTGTCGCAATTTTTTTGCCGTGATATAGGAATCTGAACTATAGGAACCCGTGTTATAGGGGGGTCGACTGTACGATATTTTGATGTGTAGCTTCCACCAGCTAAACCGTATGAGGTTGGTGCTCTGTAAAGCACATGCACGAATGCCTATAATCTGGTTGCTTTACACCATTCAAATATTTTGGCCGTGGAAGCATGGCAGCTAAGTAAATATTCCTTCAAATGCAAGATGTAAACTTAGGAGGAGTCAAGTCTAGATTGTATGGAGAATGATGATAAATCTCCCATTGAAACATTCGTAACAAATGTACACCAGACTACGAATTTGTTGCAGACCATTCAGCATTATCCCCATACATTCTAAGCTGATGATGGATTTCAGCAGGTGGAATATTTTTGGTTCACATAAATTCAATTTTGGCCTTCTCAAATTTTCACAAGATCATTTTTCTAACTTTGTGTCCAAGATTTCCTAATGATAACAATGGTGTCATACTGGTGTTGTTCTAACAGTTTAGTGTTTCTAATCTGGGTCATTACTAGTGAAATTTAACTTTTATTGAAGTTACATTTCACTAGTTCTTTGGTTTTTAAAAGTGCTTGTGAACCTTGTAAAGTTAAATATTTTAAGTGGAGTGATTATTAAAAATTAACTTTTAAGCAAATAAGAGAATGCTTAGAAAATACATTTTTAAAAAAGACATGGAATTATTACACTTAATGTTAATTGGTTTGTTTATTTTATTTAGGTTGTTCATCAGATATTTTAATTAAGTCTGGAAGTAAAATTGAAATAACTTCTCCTAATTTTCCTGATGCTTATTCATTTCGATCTCACTGCTGGACAAATATCTCAAGATCTACAACAAAAGATTTTTTATATTTGTCATTTAAAATGTTTCATTTGGCAGACAGACACTGTGTTAAAATTCATGACACTAAAAATGATAAAACTTTTGTTTATAATAATAATAATGCAAATGATCTTCTGATATACTCTGATGTTGCATTAGAATTATTGGCCTGGTCATGTAATTCCTCAGAAGAGTCTGGTTCTAAAATGTCTACGGGAATTGGTTATTATGCTGATGTTTATTCCACAGGTAAGATATTATTTATGGTTAATACTGTTTAAATTATTACAGTAATATGTTGATTAACACTTGGGACATGTTTCTAGTAAATTAAGCATTAACTGAAATAGTACAAGAAATTATTATATTTTTACAATAGAAGTGTCAGTATTGCATCATATTTTATTATTATTTCCTATATTTTTTTACAATGCTTTTGTTTACATCTAAGATGATTAGCAGATTATTGAGTCATCTTGTAAAGAATAGAACTCAATCTTATTTTTATTGTTTGTATTATTTCTTTCAGTTTCAGAGAATTTTGTTTAGACCATCAGAAATTAAGTCTTTCCCTGAACTAATATTAAAATTTGAGTTATCTGAAATTATGGTTTTGCACCATCCACACTAGTACCATTTCAGAGAAAACCAGACATAATTCTTTATCATTGAAATAATGGTTTTAAACTGTTTCCATTCAATTAAAATATTTTTAAACCGAAAGTACTTCAAAAAAATTAGTTAAAATAGGGTTTGGAAATTCAATCTTTATCAGAACTTATCTCCATTCTTTTTTGTGTTGGATTCCTTGTGACTTATTCTCAGCATGAGACATACTTCTGGAGATGGTCATTCTACTTTCTCTTTTAGGAAAACCTCAAGAAGTATATCAGTTAGTTGAATGAAATAAGTAATGTGAATATGATTGTTGTTTGTGTTGCATTGAGAATTTTAAGTATGCAACACACGAAATTACATGCAGTCATTGTTCCTTGCCTCCTGGGCATCTTTTGATGGCTGCCCAATTGGAAGCAATACATAGTTGATAATCTGGGCCCCAGGTTTAGGATTTTATGCAAGCTTATTGACATGTAATACCAGGGATGTAGGTTTACTAACAGCTTTGCTGTTGAAATGGCATATTCTTGATCTACATTATTTTGTAGGTCAGAAGAAATTGCTTTTAGTATTATGGCAAAGTGCTTGATCAATACCATAATTTCTGCTGACAGTGTAGGATTGCCAAATACTTTTCTCACAGTATTATATTATTATTATTATTATTATTATATATATATATATATATATATANTGATATATTCATTTAGTAGAAAGAGATATCTCAAACTGAACTAAAATTATGTATCTTTGTAAATTATTAAGTTCTCTGTTGTTATAATTATAAAAGTTACAAAAGTATTATAACAAATTTGTAATTAATGTATCATTAATCAGGGCTTAAAGTGACTCACTTTTTTTATAGCTCCCCTTTTTTTTCTGAGGCAAACTTGCTTTTCTTCACTTCCCTTGTGGAATTTTTTTCATAAATGCGCTGGGGCGTGAAATAGTGACTAGCACATCTCCATATGCCTTATTATGTCACCATTTGCAACATGATAAGGACTGTTGTCTACACATGTATTGTACATGTATATAGGCTAACATAACAAGGAGCTTTCCAAGGCTTGCTACTCTGCACATGCTGTAGGAATTTGCCTTGTTTGTATCTATGTGAAATACTAATCTCCATAGCACTTTGATACAATCACACTGCACTAAGGCATAAGTACACCTATAGTTCGGTGTTAAGAGTGATTTTTTATACGGCATTATTTTTAGCATTTGTATTTATTTAAGCACAGTGGACAAAAGAAAGAAATAGATTTTATTTAATACTAAAAGTAAAAACTCATGTTTTAGCAATGGAAAATCATATAGAATCCAATAGTTTCTGAAGTAAGTTGCTGACCAAATTTTTCCTTTCCAATGGTCTTTCTACTATTGTTCTTTAGCTTAAACGATGACATCACTCGTTCTTGACTACCATAGAAAAATCAATAATAATAATTGTTGAGTGATAATAAATTTAATTTCAACTGTTATTAAATAAAACGTTGTTGGACAGTCATTTAAAAGCTTGTATCTTTCTAGCACTCTGTAAAATTAAAGATCGAGCAAACCTCATGCCAGAAGGTACAAGATTTTAAACTAGTATCCTAAATATTAATAACTTCTGTAGAGACAATCTTTAGACAAAGACAAAAGTTTTGGTTTTTAAGTGGATGTTTATATATTTGGCATGCACCATGATTTTCTGCTTTCTAACTGTGTCTTTCATTTTTCATTTCGACAGAAACTAAAACGTAAAGTAAACTACAGTGATGTGCTGTCCATGAAAGCCATCAAAGAGCCGCTTCCCTTGTATTTTCTAAAATATAAACACACATTGTGAAAGTATGAAAATAATTGAACATACTTTGAATTACCTAAAATTAATATTTTATTATAACCACATCATTTATTTTATTACAAACTAGCTTACCCGTCGTGCATTGCTGCGATCTCAGAAGAAACGAAATTCAAGCAAACTCGTTATGATAAAATTAAATTTACATTTTATCATTTTTATTGAAACATTATTATTATATTATTATTATTATTCATTTTCATTGGGAAAACATTTCAAAGTGTCGTTTCAGTTCTATTTATTTATTTGAGTGCTTGTGGATACACGATATTTTTTGTTTTTCCATCTGGTGCGTACACGAATAAATCAGAAAATTTTTTGACGCGTGAGTTGGCCACATACGAGGTCTGTTCAAAAGGTATCGGACTTTTATTTTTTCCACGTAAACTAATGATGTGCGGGAGGCCTCTTTCGGTGAAGTTGTGGAGGGGAAAGTCATGCACAGCCCTGAATTTTTTCCCACCTGCAGGAAGCGTCAGTTGTTGGCAGTCGGCCTATGAGTGAGGACATGTAGTGAGCTCTTGTCGGATTCCACTAAGTTGGAAAATGACTGAACAATGTGAGCAGCGATATTACATCAAATTTTGCCAAAAACCTTGGCGATACCCAAGCGTAAACCATTTGAAAGATTCAGCAGTCTTTCGGGGACGATCCTCGAGGCCAAAAAAAGCACGGCAGGTCCACAGCAATATCAAGGTCATGTTGACAGTTTTTTTGACTCTCGTGGGGTGGTTTATCGTGAGTATGCACCACAAGGCCAAACCATTGCAAAGGAGTACTACCAGGAGGTCCTTCATCATCTTTCCGATGCTGTGCAACGCAAACGACCGGATCTGTGGTCGATCAAAACTTGGCAGCTCCATTGTGATAACACATCTGTCCATTCTGCGCATCTGATTCGGGCGTTCGTCACCAAACACAACACTCCTGTGATTCGTTACGCTCTGTACTCTCCCCACATGGCTCCTTGTGACCTTTGGCTATTTTCCAAGCTGAAAATGCCGCTAAAAGGAACCCGATTTTAGTCAAGAGAAGACATCGCGCAGAATGCGACGGACCAGCTGATGGCCATTCCAAGAGATGCATTCCAGCAGTGTTTCCAGCAATGGCAGGAACGCTGGGAGAAGTGTATACACTACCAAGGAGACTACTTTGAAAGGGATTAGGGTTTTGTACCTCAAAATCAATAAATGTATTTTTGCCAACCAAAGGTCCAATACTTTTTGAACATCCCTCGTACAGTTGTTAATGCAAGAAGCACGGATTCTCCAAATTTAGCCCACACACTCGCAGTGATTGTCAGAAGTTCGATATTCCCCATTTTTATATATATTTTTTAATCCTTTATAATTTTTATTATTAATTGCTCCTTCCTCTTTTCCTTGGCATGTTGTGACATTTCTGATAGTTGGATAATAAACCATTTTATTGTAATTTGTCTTTTTAAATTGTTTTGAGTCAATATTAAAATTTGGAAAAGGGGGGATCCCTAGATCGGTAAAATAGGCGAATTTCCTCTTACAACTTTGGTTGTTGTTTGGGGTACAGTTAAGGTTTTAACAAAGTTCGAGCGAATACATAATTAGCAAAAAAAAAAGTTGAAATAAAGTGATTAAACAAAAATTATTACAAATATCGTAAATAACAGTTCACAAATGCATATATAGAGAGATTTTTTGGAGGGGGAAAATGGTCTTCACAATTTGAAATCGATCGAACACACTGATCGATACACTCATATACACGCGTGCCATCTATTGTAGGATAAATGTACTATGCCAGAAACCTTCACAGGAGTATATTAAACAACTTCCCAAAGTTTCACGGCACTCAGATAAATGGTATGATAATGCATGAAGGACAGACAGACACACACACACACACACACACACATTCATTTTTATATATATAGATTTATATACATGTGAAAAGCAATGATAAGATTGAAACCAACTTCCAGGGGCAATCAGTTAATTGCACATCAGACTGACGCACAATTAAGTGATTGCCCCTGGAAGTCGGTTTCTTACAGAAACACGACTTTCCTATCATCAAATGTTACAGCATGCCGTTGGTAAACCATGAGCAAGGCAAAGTATGCGCTTAGAGAGGGCTGGATTCTTAAAACTAAGTCAAATGGTTTTGTGGTGTCATCTTGGGGACGTAGGTTGTCTTCTCGGAGCTTTTCTGCACATTGTGTGCTTCCAATATCAGTGTATCTAGTAAAGGTTTCCTTGCAATCTTCCAACATTCAAGCTATGAGAAACATATAAATAAATGCTATGAAGTGCTTGGTTCCAACCAGTTAAAACCTGTCACACGTGCTCATTCGAATATAAATTGCACACCCGCAGTCAACCCAGCACCAATTTAAAAATTTAATTTGTAAATATTTAATGTCGAGAAATCACCATTTTCACTTTAATCTAGCTTTTCAATATGTTTCTAGTCGAACTCAGTCAAAAAAATATTTAATTTAAAAAATTATAATTAATACTAGAAGGTAATTAGCATAAATTACATTGTGTCGTGTTTCATCTTTGCTCTCGTTTAAATTTATTATCTTTGACATGCATTGAAGTTTGTTTTTACTTCTACTGGAGTTTAGGCTTTTATTTCAACTCGACCACTTTGGTTACACAAAATGGGGAGATGGGCATCATGTGATTGTGTATCTGACTTTTTATGACAAATTTTCTTACCTTGAAAGTTTTTTCGATTTTAATTATTATTAACTTTTTTATGGATTTTTATATCTTTGTATTATCTGAAGTTGCAGATATATGTTTTTCTTAATTTTAAAATTTAAAAATTAATTAAATATTATCAGAAATGCTAAACTATAAGTACAGTGTGTTTTACATTGTTATTGCAAACAGATAGTCAATTATTTTATAAACATAATTTATAGAAATTAAAATAATAAATACAGTAGAGCATCAATTATCTGACTCAATTGGGGACTCAGGTTGGTCAGATAATTGATCTATGGAGGTCTGAGACTCTTCAGGAACCCCTTGTGAGTTGATTTTATCAATGTGCTCAAGACACACCGACATATCCGATGATCGAATTGCCATTTAAATTGAAGAAAATATGATGAGAATGCAATAGAAATGAACCACGCCCAAAGAAAAATTAACCATCTTAAGACAGCCGGAAAAAACTATCAACAAGTGAAAAGCCTATCAGACCCACTATACAACCAATGGCTCACTTTGCAACCTGAAGACAACTGAATTAGTATTGGTTGGAGTAGTGTATAACAGTCAATGGAGGAGGTCAATGACCTACACAATACTTCCCGACAAAAAACACCATAAAACCAAAACTACAAAAGTTAGAAATGCAAAATTTGAATAATTTATAGAAAATAAGGTGATAAAAATACAACCCAACTGGCAGCCCGATGAAGGCCTGCAAAACGACATGCATTGATCGCCATAAGTTGCCGAAAAGGGGGGCTAGGGAAATAATTTCAACAAAATCAAACCAAGACCAAGCCTGCTGACCAAAAACCAGCAGACAAAGCTCAGAATTGCCAAACTACACGGGAAAAGGGAAATGTTTGACTTAACAGTACTAATCGCCATTCGGTTGTGGCGCAAAAACGGCCATAAATGATGAAAACCTGGGCCAATCTTAACGAAAGCTACATTAAATGAAACCAGAACCCTTTCAGCAATAGAATATGAAACAGCAAACAGAATATGATACTTTAAAGTAAAACCTTCAATTCTAAGAACAAACGCAAAAGCCGATGTGACCCATGTTTGTTACCTGCTACATGACACCTCCTTCTTTGCACTTTTCCAACATATTGATCACAGAAAGAAAATTAGCTTGATAAAATAAATTGTACTGATTTAAAATGATAAATGATTCTGGCTAAAAAAAAAAAGTGTGTAAAAAAAGGGGGGGACAATTTTAAGAGTACCAATTGGATATTAAGTTTTACACTGGTGTTAACATCACTTTTCTTTATTAGTTAACATTTACAAATTACAAAAAAATATAAAAAAGAAAACTTATATCATCATATTTTTTTCAATAGAATTTTTGAATAAAAATTTTTAATAACTGAAATTTTAGTAATAAAAGTTTCTGTGGAAATAGGAGAGTAACTGAAGATATTAGTATATATTTTACAATATACTGAGTGCCAGGACAGGATGCCGTAAATACATAAAACACTTTTTTCCTAAATAAAATATGGATGGAAATATATTTTACAGCATATAAGATGTACTACACAAGTAAAAATATTTTTGGCAAAGTGATGTCAGTAATAAAATGAACTACACTTGTCATAATTTATACTTACAAAAAATGTTTTCAGTGCTTTCCAAATATATAGATAACTATTTGTTTATTCATAGAGTTGAGATATAATAAATTTCAAAAAACATTACTTTAGTAATTACAGTAGAGCATCGATTATCCAAAACAATTCGGGACTGGAGTTGTTTGGTTAACTGATCACGTACGAAAAAATATATTAACCTATCCCGTGTTGAAATTTTTCTTCATTGCATGTTGCTTTGCATTGAATAATGTTAAGCCTAACATAAACTTTTTAAAATAATAATCGTGGAGCATCGATTATCCAAAACAATTCGGGACTGGAGTTGTTTGGTTAACTGATCACGTACGAAAAAATATATTAACCTATCCTGTGTTGAAATTTTTCTTCATTGCATATTGCTTTCCATTGAATTTTCATCAATGTTAAGCCTAACGAAAAATTTTTTTAAAATAATAATTGTGGCTATTGTATTGTTAAAAATTATTTCTTTATTTTGCACAAACAAAATAAATATATTGAAAAATATAAAAAAGATATATTTTGGAAGTTAATCTAGTATCAAAAACGTTCCGATTCAGCATGACACGTGCCGACACACAATCCTTGGGAAAACACTGCACAAAACAAGCAAAACTCACTGCTCACGATGGGGGAAAAAATGCCTCGTTTAAATACTGGCATGTCCTTAAGAACCTTCTTGTGGTCATGCCAGTGCTGTCAGCTAAAACACGCACACCAACAAAAATAATATTTGACTAGACCAAGACATAGCCAAACATTGCAGCACACAGCACTAGTGAAAATTTGAATTTGCCAACTGGAATGCTTTCGGTTAATCGATGTTTCGTTTGATCGGTATTCAGATAATCGATGTTCTACTGTAATTTGTTTTCTTTATAATATATATTATAAATATGTTTAATTAAATTTTTTTACTATATACATTTGACTTTTAGATTGTGGAGGAGTATTTAGAACTCTAGAAGGTAGTTTTAGTACACCAGGATTTCCAGATAAAATGACAGGAAATTCAAAGTGCATTTGGAAGATAGAAATAACAGAACAAAAGAATAATAATACTGCTTATCTTATAGCATTTTCAATTGAATGGAAATATGAGAAAAGGTAAGTTACCATTTAGGTGATAGATCTTGAGTATATTTTGTGTGTGTGTTTATACCATCGTAGTTTTTATACTTACGCTCCTTGGCTGACATCGTGGGTTGTGTTGTTGTAGTTTGTAAGAATTATTCTATTGTCAATTTGAATAAAATTTAATTTATAAATATTTTATTTTATTTGTTATCACAACCCATTACTTAAAATCATATTTCTCACATATTTAATAAAATGTAAATGTTTGACAAAAGTCCTGCCTTAATAAAGACCTTAAGAATAAAGGTATTATTCTCTTCAATGATAGTTACCTACAAGAGCTATGTAGACGACATTCTTGCCATCCGTATGACCAAAGATATGAAGTATTTCTTGTAGTTTTTTTCTTCCTACAGCAAAAGTTGTTTCTTTTTAGACAACCTGTGTATCACAAACCAACCCAACTCCCACTGTTCATACCAGCTAACTCTTTTGACCCTTATTACTAAAAAATTTCTTAAATCACTAAAAAGTAGTAAGGTATAACATTCACAAAAAATGAGAAATTATTGGAAAGATAAAGATCTCAACTGTCAAAAAAATGAAATATGTAATACTGATTAGGATTATTGTATCAAAATGTATTTATCACAATAAAAACATTGAAGGAAAGTAAATTACTTTTTATTTGGTTATTGTGCTGCAATATGAAAAAATTTCAGACGTATAAATTCCTACTGTCATCCATCTATTTGTCTGTCCATTGCCCTTCCTTAATCTTGAGAACAGAGTTAGATAGAAGAAAGCCAATATCAGATATGGAAAGCTTAAGGGCAGGAGGCCTTGATTAACTATATGCAAACTTCCAATACAAACCATAAGTCACTTTATTTCAATTCAACAGTTCACCCTGAAAGGAGTTAGATGACCAGCACGACTCAGTTGCTAAAAGTAAAGTATGATGTACAGGGGCAAAATATTAATAATTTGAAGGTGGAGAGCATATTTTTTAAATCAAATAAATTAAAAAATATGATTGTCACAATGCTAAGCTGCAATTTTTAATGTCACAACAAAATAATTGCTTGTTCTTTTATCTGTATGTCTTTTAAAAGCAGTTTTATGTCAGATTAACTGTTGGTAAAGAAGTTCTGGAAAACACATTTTGGTTTTAACAACTACTTTTTAGATATTTATATAAAATCTCTTCTAAAGCACTCATAAAAAAGACATACATATACTACACAACCTTTGTGATACTCTACAAGAATTAAAACATTTAAAGTCTGTAGTGGTAAAACGTAGTTATTTGAACAAGTTAATTCATCATTTAGCATGCAACTTTAACAATAGACAACAAAATATCTCCAACAACATATTAGTTTCAACCCTACATATATAATAGTCTATAACCAAGACCTTCATGCTGCATACAAAGAAATAGCTAACAACAGAAAAGTCAAATTAACTTTCAAGTGCAGGCCTACTATATACAAGTTATTACCCAATGGTAAGGGCTTCACCAATAAGTGTAGTAGAACCCCGGTTAATGAACGTAATCCATTCCACGAGTCCGTTCATTAACCAAAGCAATTTTTCTCATAGAAATTAATGCAAATACAATTAATCCATTCTAGCCATCAGTATTTTTGAAATTTTATTTGTAAAATGGGTTTTCTTTAATGAAAATATAGGAAAACGTGCTCATAAACAGTCGATCTAGGTTAAATTTTTGGAAAAGGGAAAAGATTCGACGGGTATAAAAACATCACATATGATCGTTAAAGTTCTAAAATGACACATAGCAGAAACAGTAGGCTAAATTATGAGCAAAAGGCTTATAGGTTTATCAACAATATCTGATCAGAGTCAACGAACAGGTGTCAAATAAATGCCTCGGAACAAACCTTTCTCGTGACCTGATCTGGTTTCAGTTTTCACCTGGAGACAAAGAAGAAAACAATCGGGAAGCGAAGAATGGGACGCAGGACTAATCATAAGGTGAGATTCAAGGAAGAAATACTATACAAACCCTGAATCTCAAGGTCAAAACGCAGTTTTCCTAAAAATTCTATGGCGATTAATCTGTACTGTCTTCATCTGGATTAAGCCTGAAGTCGTGCCCACTAAAATTTGTGTTGTGTCTCACAGACCGCTCTAGTCATTGCATCTCTGTCACCTATCATCACTTCTGTGATCAAGCAAACCCATCTAGTCTGCTCTGGAGCTACGACTGATCAGTTTGCACTATTGTAGGACTAGCGATACGCCACTCCTCAGTGCCGGGAGAAAATACTGTAGATAAGCCAATCAATCAATCTTTTTTATTAAGGCACCATAGAAGTACATGCCCGGTACCGTGAGGCATAGCCAGGCTACAAAACAAGATTACAGGTGAATTACAAAGTGTAGGAATTTATGCAATGCATTACAGCAGTTGAATGAGATGTAATAAAATAATACAAAACAATAATCATTAAAACTAGTGAAAAATACAATAAAAAAACAAATGAGAGTATAATAAAACCTAAATTATAAATAACTATAGAAAAGGTAAATAATCGAAATTAGTTAGCATGTTTGCACAATGGTAACATAATAAAAATAGTGAATAGTACAATATATGAATATTATGAAGTGACAGTGGAAAATAATATAAACAAAACTATGTACATATATACAGGACATGGGCAGCTAATGGCTGCAAGTGATTCAAAATATTACAGGTAGTAAGTACAGAGAAGGGTTACTGGTTGGAGGTGGTAGTTGAAATAACGTCGTGTCTTTTCACAAGTGCATCGAAGGCTGTATACAGTTCTTTGTTCTGAAGAAACTCCTTGTGGTGGCATGGCCAGGGGATGTTATTTTTGGAGGCTATTAGCTTGATGTTTGAACGTTCAGTTTCCAGGCGCACACAGCTGAAAATGTGATGGTCAGCGTTATCAACTTCATTACAAATGGCGCACAGTGGGGTGTCCTTGATGGCAAACTTGTGAAGATAACTGGAGAAATTTCCATGATTTGTTAGGAACCGACATAAGTGGGTATTGAGCTGTATCCAGTTGAATTTGAAGTAATCCTTAATGTCTGGAATGTAACTAAAAGTAGTGTTATTGTGGTTTTCACTCCAGTTACACTGCCAAGAGTAAAGAAGATCTTCGAAAAGCAAGTTTTTAATAGCAGAGTGACTAATCCTGTCATAGGCTATGTCCAAGGAGTCATTGTTGGCTGCTGCCTTTGCCAGTTGGTCAGCCCACTCATTTCTGGCAGTACCCTGGACTACGAGTCCAATTAATGTAGAGGTGGTTTGTTGAGTTGCTTTCTGATGTTAGTTGCAATGGGGTGTTGTTTCTTGCTGTTAATGATGGAAAGAGCAGAAAGACAGTCTGTGAGCATGACTATAGTTGCATGCTTGTAGTGTGCCGAAACCCAGTTGGTGGCCTTGCCAATAGCAGTTAGCTCTGCCTGAAATGCAGTACAGTGGTCTGATAACCTGTACTGTTCACTGTGAATTTCATGGTCATCCTGGTAAGCCACGAAGGCACAGCCAATCTTGCCGTCAAGTTTTGAGCCATCTGTAAATATCTGGACATAGATAAGCCATTTCCAATCACCTCAAATATGTAAGCATCTTCCTGTTCTAATAAAAGATTTTCATTGTAAAATCTTGTCATCTTTGTCTGCTCCGCCACCACCAACATATGAATGGACTCTAGACCATCACCAACACACGATTAACTGATTCCCCCTAAAACTCGTCAGGCTTACAAATTTGACACAAAAAGCTGTTAAGTTCATTATCCGAGACAAAATTTTTGCAAAATAAAAGTTCGTTAACCGGAGTTCCACTGTATAGGACCCTTGGTGTTTTTTTTTTTTTTTTTTTTTTTTTGTGGTTTTGGGCCCCTTACCGCTCAGAGAGCACAAAGAAGCCAAAAGGGCTCTTGGTGTAATAGGGTTCTGGTGAGGGAACAATAGATGCAATAAAAATGTAGTGTGTGAGATAAGCCGTGGGTCAGGAGTTAATCCACTTAATCGGCAACAGGTTGATAAAACCCGATCTCGGGGTCATTGGATGGCTAGGAGGGCAAATCGAGTGGGGAGTGCGTCAGTAAGTCGGCAGGCATCCTTAAGTGACAGGAGACAGGTTAACAAAATAACAAAGCATTTATTGAATAACTAAATCTAACTCTACAAGAGGTGAACTTACTACTAAGGTTAAATGCGGTTATATTAAAATATTTACAGAAATTGGCGACGAATTTCATAGCTATGTCGCTGACCTAATTTCTAGTTCAAGAGAGCACGCTTTTACAAATTTTAACCCGTAAATACCTCTCGGTGGAAGGGTGAGTTTGGCGAACGTCATCTGTATGGAAAGGTGTGGTGTCTTCCTTGTCTTCTTGCCGATGTCCTCTCTCTGTAGCTGGATCAAGTCCGCTGTATGGAGGTTCAGGAGTCGAGGTGGGCACTATCACAAAGTACAACTTCCTATGACAAATCGCCCTGAGCTTCCGGAGATTTCAGCTTTTATATCATTAGCGTGGAAAAACTGTCACGTGATTGACTTTTGTTGACAATGACGGTGCATTCTTCACACCTAACTGTAAACTTCCTCAGCTAGTCGTTATACAATCGATGAAATCTGATCTAGTTCAAATTCTTCGGGTTTTTTCTAAAGATAATTAACAGAAAATTTAGAATTTTAAAATGCCCGAAAAAATCCGTGAGCTCACAAATGTGTACAGGGTTAACAAAAAGATTTCTTCACAAAAGGCTACAAGAACATTAGTATGACATCAAGAATAAGAAACTCAACACTGCCATATCTGTTTATACAACTGATAACATTCAAGTCAACCTACAACATGCTACCCTTATAAGACTCCTTGCAAACTGACCATCTCAAGACTAGAAACCTTCAAGGCTGTTAAAGAACAGTTTAATAATTTCAAGGACAAACTATGAATCCTGTATGCCTGGCAACATTCCATTCTCAAGATTAAGGAAAGACAGATGGACAACAGTGG